ATCTAGAGAGATGCATACGCTTGCCACCTCTGGACAGTGTACTAGATGGGGACTGTCTACCTCTTCAGTTTCTGCCAGTGAGACCTTCGAATGGGAGGATTTCTTTTTTTTTCAACACCCGAAGTCCCTGTAGAGGAAACTGAAACCTCTACTGGTTGTTCCCTTTTGCTACCTTATAGTCAAGGCAATAAGGGACAATGTGGTCAGGGTCCCCACATTTAAGGCACTGGTCGGCAACTTTCCTTTCCTGCCAAACTTTCTCTGTAATTCCCAACTTTTTCCAAGGTTTCCCCTTCGGGTAGACCTGGATGCGATGGATATGGCTTATCCCACTTGTTATACCAAGTGCCTCTTCCTCTTCCCCAGGCAGAATTGAAACCACGGTCACCTTGCGAGGGACCATTGCCCCTTCCTCCCACATAGTAGTTACCTTCACTACTACCCCTCTGGGTGCCGGATCCACTTCCACCACGTCCGCGGCCTCCTCTTCCTTGGCCACGACCTCGTCCTTGTTGCCCTTCCCCGCGGGCTACAATGGCCACGTAACTCCCCTCCTGAGCTACTTAACCGTTGGGTCTTTCCTCAAGACCATAATCTACTTGGTCCCAAGAAAGTGTTTCGACACCTCCTTGTTCGAAGGTCGAAAGGAGGCTGTCTTTCCCAGGTATAGACCCTGAGATAGTGCAGTTCTGCCATTTTTTACCCGCTTGCAGATCCTTTCAATAATGACAATAATTGGCCTCAGCCAAGAAGCCAGCGTGATCTATGGCGATCTTGCTGAATTTCTCGTAAGTCATCCCCTCTTCCTTTGTACGGGGATACAACTGAGTACAAGGGGGTCGGGCAGTGCGCGCGCAAAACTATTCAATATGTGAGCAGGGATCAATCCATGTTCATTGCATTGCAACAGTTCATCCATGGTGGCTTTAAGTGCTGAGGTGCTTTTCCATTTTCTATCTGGGAGGTTTATGACTAACATTTATGTCCTCCTGGCTAAGTTCTTGTCCTCAAACCTGTCTCGAATGGCTTTGAAAAATTCCTCAATTCGGGTTTGCTGGGAGTATTCTACCATAGAGCTGCAACCTGCCTCCTTCTGTAGGGAGATGGCGAAGCTCATAGCATCTCCCTCCATACACGAACTTGCCATTAGCACCCTGTCCCAGTACGGAATGCGCTGTCCGTAGACATACGACTCGACTGTCGCAATCCAATGTAGCACACTTTGCTCTTTCTTGCCATTATATGTCCAGGGGACTTTAACCTTTATTTTCCGTACATCCGTATCCTTATCTTCTCGCAGCACTCCCTTTCCTATCATCTCCCCCGTCTCCGTCTCCATCTCCACCTCCTCCTCCGCCGCTGCCTCGGACTATCTTCTTAATCAGGGCCAGAGTAAAGGTTTGTGTGATGTGATTGTCTAATTTTTCAATATAGGATTGTATATGCAGATCGACATCTTTGGCGGACTTCTGCAGGAAGGTGTTCCAGACTCCTTCAAACTCATATTGGTGAGTTTCAACCTTTTGCAGAGTTCTATTTATTGCCGCGACTTCTCGCTTTGTGTGAAGGACTATTTCTGTTAAGAGGGCAAGTTTCTCTTCCGTTGCAGCTTACTTGTCTTTTTGATCTTGTAACTCCTTATGCAGCCTTGCACCCTCTGCCTGCAGCCTTTTCCTTTCATCTAATTCCTGCCGTTTTGCTGCTAACATTTTGCTATGCAGTTCTGTACGTTTTTCCTCAAGCAAAAGATCTTTTTCTCTTTGGTCTGCAATGGATGCCAACTTTGCAAGAAATACATCTCTTTCTTCCTCTGTCTCTTCTACGCGATCGCTGGAGTATGCATACAGGTCATACTAGTCGAGCGGCTTGACCTCAAGTCCTCCACCTGTCTGACTAGTCTCACCTCTTTCCGTCCGCCGTCTGATGAGCCTGTCATCGGCAGGTTCATCTTCTTCTTCAATTGTTTGCAATTCCTCCTTCAACTGTTTTTCCATTTTTTCTTTCATTTCCCTTTTTGATCTTTCTTCTTCCAGTTGGGTTTTCTTCTTTATCTCCTCTTCTTTCTGTCTTTTTCTGCCTTCTTTCTCTTTCTTTTTCTCTGCCTGTCGACGATCGATTTCTGCCTGTTCAGCAGGCGTGGGCCCTGGCTTCACGGCACCGGACCTCATCATCATTCGGGACGAGCATGTTCTCCCAAACCCCAGAGGAAAGAAGATTCTGAAGAGGGGGCCCAATAAAACAGAAAGGGCCAGAATTCCCTACATGGGGAAGTCATCCATGGTGGTTGGCGGCACAGGTGGTCCTCCGCCGCTCCACCAAGATACTTCCCTCAGGTGGCACTAAACTTAGTCTAAAGTGGATGAGATACTATGCTTGTTTTTTTTTTTTCAAATTCTGAGAATCGCTGCTTTCACAATAACAAATTTCAAATAGTAAAGAACTTAAGTAGAACTTCCTTTTTCTTTTTTTTTTAACGCTGCTGGTCTCCTTCTTAATTGGTTCCTTTCTTTCTTTCTTGCTGATCTGGATGTCTTCTTTTTCCTTTTATTAACCTTGCTTGTCTGTCCTCTTGCGCAGGGGGTACTGAAGTGTGTACGTGTCAGATGCTTGGACAATGCTGTATCACCCTACTACTACTGCCCATCTTAGACCTTATGTCGTGACTGCTATCTGACGTGGCAATCAACCACTACAACCAGTGTTCCCCCCACCTTTACTACCTCCTACAGATGTCAATTCAGAGGGGTAGAAGAGAAGACCACCAGGACTCTAACCACTACTACTGACTCTCAGACTGAACCTTAGGTAGACAGCAGCAGCAGCGACCTCCAGAGAGGGAAAGAAGTAGAGTACACACACACACACAGCCAGGTAAGGGGAGTGGAGGTCCTTCTCTCTTTTGAAGCAATCGTCGATGAAGCTCCTCGTCGCTCCGCACTCCAACGATCCAGGTAAGTAATCTTCTGCCCCTTCCTCTTCGGCTTACTTCTCCCCCTATCCCAATCCACCTCTCTCACAACTCTACCATCACCAGCATCATCTTCAAGCCAGCGTTCTCTTCTTCTCGCCGGCCTTACTCATGCCAGCGCAGTGAGTGCAACAAGCATCAGCTCCGATACCAAGTTTGCAAGGGACCTGTCTGTCCTCCTCTTGCCGGAGTGTATCACAACGCATGCATGGACAATGACTCACACAAGAGATGAAGCTCACACATAGTCCAAACGAGATGGGATAGAACCAAGATGCGCAACTCAATTTATTGTTAACACATTATACAAGAGTATATTGAGATCCAAAGTTCAACGCCCAACATTATCACGAGTATCTTCCTTCTGTCTCCCGAATGGGGCCTGGCTCAGCCAGCACCACCATCAGAACTCAAGTACAGCGCACAGCAGGTAAGTATCCACCATAGCCAGAACCTACCCCACTCTCTCTCTTCTCTCTCTCTCTCTTGAATCTCAATCTTGGTCCTCTTGTCCCACCATACATGCACACTCCTCCTACGAAGATCTACTTTGAATGCTACTCACTGTAGACTAATTACTAACCCATTACCTATACTAACTAGCTGGCGCAGCTATGGATGCCACTTGCAAGCCAGCGCCCAGCTCTCTTCCACCTCTCAGCGCAGCTTCTCCTCCAGCGCTAACCAGCCAGCTAGCGCACAAGTGCACACAGCACTTCCACACCAATATGCCAGTGGGAATCTGATGTCAAGGGAGGCTGGCCTATTGCTTTATACTGCTGGCCTCCCCTGCGAGGTCTGCACTGGTCTGCATTGGCACTTTGGACCTCCTTCAGTCCCAGACCCATGCATATGTGTGTCCCAGTATTTTCCCCTCAGGGTCTGCTGCTGCTGCGGCCATCTGGCCTGTATTTCGGACTGGGTATCTGAATCTAGACCCCTTATTAGACCTAGACAGAACTGGGAACCTGCCCTTTGACTTCCTTTTGGACAGACACACATTCTATACGAACAGCCACTCATACTGCACGAACAGACACTCATACTGCATGAACAGACACATACTGTACGTACAGACACATCTCTTGTCTGAACAGACATGACCTCCGCACCCCCTGGACGAACAGATGTGAGTCCCAAATCCAGATGTTGCAGCTGTTCGTACAGGGCACAACTGTGACCTTTGACATTAGCTTTTACTTAGCTAGGATGTGACTTTTGACCCAGAGAACATGTCCTTTGATTTGCTTTCACGAGTTGGGCCCTGGCGGGTGACCCTTCTATGCTGCATTTGCCGAACAGGGTCTGAATCGGGTAAAGGCCCTTTTAAATTGCAATACAAACAACTTCTTGCTTCCACAGAACTAAAGATAAAAAACAAAATAACCATATCACACTAAGGCACCCCCCTTTAAACCCCTTTAGCCCCTTTAAAATTCATTTACACTCCCCTTTCCCCCCCTCGACAGCCAACACTCAAAAAAAGAAAAGAGCCCGGCTTTGGGCTCCTCTCAGAGAGCGCGGAAAAACCTCACCGCCAATTTTTTTTTTTTTTTTTTTTTTTTGGCCATGACCGTGACGCCCGGGTGACCGGCCGGTCATGAAAATCTTCCTAGCAAAAAGCCCAATTTTGAGTATGATCATCGACATCCCATCTGCAGTAGGTGAATGTTAACATGATTGAGAATAGTGCTTGTTGTTTATAAAGTGAAATTATTGTCTCACCTAAGAGCCTAGCTCGGTGGGTACACCCATGAACTGTTGAAATACAGACCTGTGTTTGAATCCAGATGATGGAACTTGACGAGTAAAACCAACTAGTAATGAATTGCAAGGAAGATGAGCGATAGCGAACTTCAGAATCAAAAAGCATCATACACATAAGACCAGATAGTCGTGACCTCGAACCAACAGCAGAATTGCATCACGAGTTTCTCCAAATAAGAACACACCAAGAGCTCATAATTGACAATGCTGGAATAGTCTCATCAGCATCATCAACGGAGAACCAATGTTGATATCCTATCTGGTGCTCGGCGCCCAGACTACAGAWGGCAGATCCTATCTAGCCTACTCTACAATGCCGCCAGATGACGTCAACAGCTTCACCGAAGTACGAGCAGATCTCGGACAATGTCGTCGCTTCTAGCACCAGGTATGTCTCTTGTATCACTCACAACCTCGTTCCCCAACTTAGAGATGCCACTTGCACCCAAGGACCACCCTGTGCCACACCCAGCTCACAGCAGCGCAGCTCGGCTATGGCTGCCTGCTCCTTCCTGCTCACCCGTGAGCGTGTGAGCGCTAGCCAGCTTCAGCGCAGCAGCGCTTGCGCAGCATGCATCCAGCACCCGAATGCCAAATGAGTAGGCAGGCCCTTTGCTATATGGAAGTGGCCTGCCTGCTGCTGCGCTGGGCCTGTTCCGAGAAGCTTCTGGTAGGCACCGGTAGGCTGAGCTTCAGACCCAACGAATTGGCCCTGGGCCACCGACAGTTACCTGTGCCCAACTGCCCACAGCCTCAGTTGGGCCTATGCTGCGAATCTCGCCCAGGGCCTGACTCAGATGCATTTGATAAAAGGAACCAGGGCCTGGGCGCTTCCAACCAACTGGCGCTGCGCAACTGCCTGAAGTTTCCCCAGTTGCGAAGTAGTCCAAAACAGGCCTCTTAAGGTCCGTCGGGCCTGCCTTCACTTAGGGCGGCCGACGCTATTGCAAATAGGGGCCCAGTATGGCTTATCGAGGCTTTGTGCCTCGCAGAATTGCTTGGGGCCAGTCAGCTCAATGATAATATCTCAAGAAAAAAAAAAAATTATTGTCTCGACTTGGAAAAAAAGTTAAAAAACGGATATTATATTTTTGTCCATAGCTACCAGTCTTGGAAAAACCAGCATTATGTTGTCGACTAAACCATGGTAACCCCGGACCCGGACACCGGACACTTCCGGACTGTCTTCCGGACCAGTGTCTGGACCGGTCCGGACTGTCCGGTGATCCGGACATCACCGG